TGATCGCTAGATCCTGTCAGATGGTCTACCCACTGCTGCTATTGTTGTGCTATTGGCTCATGTCCTGAGTACCTCCTCGTGGCGACCGCTGGGTGGGAGCTGGGTTACCCCATTCTCCCTGCTAACTTCAGGACACCATTTTGCATGAGTCAGTGAACTGACCATGTGCTAGACCCCCTGCCTTTCAGGTGTTCATTTAATCGACGGCATTGCCTGAGGACCCGAATCGTTCTCCTGTCAGGTGTGGTCGCCCTGCCAGTATCCTGGTCCATCTTCTTCGGAAGTTAGGAAGTGGTCGATGGCCCTGTAAAACCTAGCCATGAGAGACAACAGGTCTATGGGTTATAAGCTCACAGCTCGATTGGTGTAGAGCACGAGCGCCACGCATTGTCTCTGACGGTGGGAGTACACCTCCGGATTTTCAATGGTTTGCTACTGGCCGCCACAAGTCAGGCAGCCCGCGGACAAATTGGTGCAAACCCGCCAAAACTCTGTTGCATTTGACCTTGGTCGCAGCTGCGTATACTACTACCTTCGCAACACATATATGAATCGTTCCAGTACCTCAAAGGTTGCGTGTGACGGCCGTCAAGCAGATTCCAGTGTGTCTCTGCAACCACATTCCCCAGCTGGATCTGCTCCCCACTGTCTTGTGGGTCAGGCTATTGATCCAAACGCTCAGGGTGGACTCCCTCAAGCAAAGCTCCGAAGCACTACGACCACCTCGCTTACGATTACCCACCAATGCAATCGTCTGCCTGCGCGCAAAGCACTCAGCATCGGGTGCTGGAACGTGCGCGCACTACTGGGCCGGACCTCCAGCGAGCGCCCGGAGCGACGCACTGCACTCGTTGCGACGGAACTGGCGCGCTACCACATCGATATTGCGGCGCTCAGTGAAACCCGGCTTACTGAGCAAGGTAAGTTGCTTGAAGCAGGTGCTGGCTGCACATTCTACTGGGTGGGTAACGCCCGCCAGCACGACATGAACATGGGGTCGGATTTGCAATATCCGATCGCCTCCATGGCCAGCTGGTGGGTGAACCAACGGGCATAAGCGTGCTACTGATGACTGTTCGCCTACGACTCGGAAGAGGTAAGTTTGCCAGTTGTATTAGCAAGTACGGTCGGACCATATGTTATCCTGATGACACGCGTGATCATCTCTACACTCAGCTATCCTTCGTGATACGGTCTGTACCGAGGAGCGACCGACTATTTCTACTGGGTGATTTCAACGCGCGCGTTGGTCGCGATTCATCAGTGTGGACAGATGTTATCGGTTCTCATGGCATTGGTTCAGCGAATGCGAACGGTGACAGTCTGCTCTCACTCTGTGCCTCACGATCGCGAACACTCGGTTTGCACTGAGTGCGAGTGATATAGCAACTTGGACGCACCCACGGAGTGGTCACGCTCACCTGCTCGACTATGTCATCATACGTCAGCGTGATATGCGTGAAGTGCGTATGACACGTGTACTGCGTGGAGCTGTGTGTGGCACTGATCACAAATTGGTGCGCACCAAACTGTACATATGTTTTCGTAAATCTATGTATTGCACTCCCGCCGTGAATCGGCGTAAATTTGACATTCTCTCTCTCGGTACGGTGGCGAAACGTACTGAGCTGGAGAAGGCGATGGCTGCACGCCTTTGTGATGTGGACTGCGTAGCCACAGTAGGCGACCTGTGGCACCACATTCGCGACCAGATGACAGCTGCTGCCGAGGAGACCATCGGGCACGCAAACTGGTTTGATGAGAACACTGCGATGGTTGGCGCATTGGTGTCAGGGAAGAATGCAGCATTTGCTGCACATGTGGCACACCCCAGTGACTTGGGGAAGAGTAGTCAGTTTCGAAACTACGACGGCGATTGAACCGTGAGCACCGTCGCATAAAAAATGCATGGCGGACGGAGAAGTTGAAGCAGTTGGAATGCTAGGCCGAACGCCGCTGACACAAGGAATTCTTTGACTCTTTGAAGTCAGTGTATGGACCGAGATTGGATCCGCTGAGGACGCTGATCGATGGTAGTTCAGGCGCTGCCTGCACACAGACTGCAGACATAATGCAGATCTGGCGGAAACACTTTGACTGTCTCTTAAACAACTGTTCAGAGATCGACTGGCCAACGTTGAACGGCCTCAAGCAGCACGATATGAAGGCGAGCCTGGCCGACACTGAATGAGACCCAGAGAGCACTTGCTCAAATGCGAAACGGCAAGTGTGCTGGGGTCGACGGGACCCCGCCTGAAGCATTGAAACGGCGGACCCGCGTTGTTGACTGCGCTGCACCACTTGGTGCAACGTGTATGGACTGAAGAGGAGGTGCCTCCTGAAGTGAAATATGTCCTTGTGCTACCACTGTACAAGTGCAAAGGGAGCAAGCAATGTTGCACGAATTATCGTGGCATCAAGTTGCTGAGTTGTGTGAGCAAGGTGATTGCCCGAATCCGGCTCAACCGCCTCGTCAGTCAGGTTGTGGAACGTAACGTTTCGGAAGAGCAATGCGGATTCCGTTCGGGTCGCAGCACTATAGGTATGGTATTTGCGGCTCGTCAGTTGCAGGAGAATTGCAGAGGATGACACCAGCCTTTGTACTCGCTTTTTGTTGATTTCACCAAGGCATTTGATACGGTGAACCGCGAGGCATTGTGGCTGGTGTTGAATAAGTTTGGTTGGCTGCGTAAGTTTGTAAGTTTAATTGAATGTCTGCACAGTGGTATTTGAGCAAGGGTGCAGCTGAGGGGAGAGACCTCGGATGACTTTGCAGTTGTCTCTGGTGTGAAGCAAGGCTGTGTCTTAGCTCCCACCCTGTGTAGTGTATATTTTCATGCAATGATGTCTTGTGCTTTTGATGCCACTTGTGCTTACGGTGATCGCGTGGAGCACCGTAATGCTGGTGGGTTGCTGATTGTCCGTCGTTTCGGTGTGAGAACTCTAGTCTGTGAGACAACTATCCGTATGTTGCTGTTTGCTGACGACTGTGCGTTGTTTGCACACAGCGCGGATGAATTGCAGCACATGACTAGTGCTCTGGCTTAAACAGCGGTTAAATTCGGGCCCACCATCAACACAAGCAAAACTGTCTTTCTCTTTCATCCTTCACCGGAGGTGCAATCTTCAATATTGCCGCGAATCAGCATTGGTGCTGAAGTATTGGAAACCACCTCCCGCTTCTGCTTCCTTGGGAGTGTGATGTCGACTGATCAGGGGCTGCACAGTGACTTGGGTATCCGCGTGTCGAAGGCAGCGGTGGCATTCGGGAAGCTTGAGTACCGAGCGTGGAGCAACCATCAGCTTACCATTGGCACGAAGCTGGTGGTGTACAAATCCATGGTGCTGTCCGTTCTTCTATACGGCAGTGAAACGTGGACGATGTACTGGTTGGACTTGTGGTATCTCGAGCGGTTCCATCAGCTGTGTTTCCGACAGATTTTGCGAATCGGTTGTGGCGACAGAGTTGCTGACACGGAAGTGTTGCCATAAAGTGGGATGTATGCATTGTAGTGCATACGTTTGCTGAGATTCCTGTGGTGGCTCGGTCATGTGTAACATATGGATTCGACGCGGATACCAAAACAACTATTACGTGGCCAGTTGAGTATTGGGAAGCGGCATGTGGGGAAACCCAAGTTACCTTACTAGAACATGATCAAAGTGAGCCTCTCACGTTCTAATCTTGATTGCAGGTCATGGGAATAGAAGGCGGTTGATCGGCGTGCATGGCGCGATCTAATCACGAAGGCAGTTACCGAAGTGCGGGAGAATGACCTCATGCATGCAGAGAAGAAGCGGCAAGCACCGATGAGTTGTATTCCATCGACATCGAGCTCATGGTGCTGTAGCACATGCGGTTGCGAGTGCCTGAGTTAGGCAGGCCTAGTGAGCCATGAGCGAGGCCAATCGGGACCACTACTGAAGCGACGATTGGTCCTGCATAGAACGTAGGCAGGTTCGGCACAGCGTTTGTAGGCACGCTGCATTCGATTTACTAACCGCGTGCTTGCATGCTAAGTCTCTTTATTTCAGGAGATGGGTTTTCAATTGTGTCCTAATGCTTTTCTTTCTCATATAAATATCTACCTGTACGCACTTCTATAAAGTTGCACAGGTCGCTTAAGCCAATTGTAGTTAATCTCGATAACATTTTCATGTTTGTGGCATTTCCGCAAAATATACTTTCTGACCTCCTGAATTTAACGCGGATTTTTTTGTAAACAACTTATTTCATATGCTAATTAATTTCCTTATGCTTTACTCGATTTATATTTTTGGTACATTTCTCTCAAGTGATTGGCTATTGCTTGATATCCCCCGTCTGGCTGCGCTTGATGTGCATGTTGACAAGGTGCCTACCTGTCTATTACCAACTACCTCGTCCATATTGGCTCTTGGAGACAGTTGCTCATTGCTGGAGGGGACGGGGTGCACGGTTCTTGTGGCCGTGTTAGGATCAAAGAGTGGTTCCATGCACTTAGTGTGGAGCGGACTACGGTCCAGCCACCGCCTTGTGTGTGCGCTTGATTCCCAAATACAGCGTGCTTGTGTTTGCCTGTGAAGGAGTGTGGGCCGGCTCGGTTGATGAAACGTGGCTCCCATCCACATGCCTACCGGTCTTATGCCTTCGGGTTTACGCTGTATATGGGGTGTGTTGTTTGGAGCGGAGGGTGGTGTAGCTCCAGCCACCCATGGTCCTCCTGTAGGCGCATGCGTCCTGTGGCTGACCGCTGTGACAGGCCAATCCGAAACCGAATGCCGCCACCCAGAAATTTATATATATATATATATATATATATATATATATATATATATATATATATATATCTGCGTGTCTTTTAGGGCCCATTACATCGCCGACATTTTGCACATAATTGAACCTTTGTATTTTTGTTTTTCATTTTCGGTAATTTTCATTCACATTCACTGATTTGTGTTTCCTCTTTATTAGTCGTTTACTGGCTTACAGGCACTTTGACCGTCTCTTCCCTTCGCAGGCCTACTTCGGATGAACAGCATCATCTTTCCGCTTACGCAACACGTTTATGCGATTACCCACTTTCGAGAAGGATTCCTCAGCCTGTGACACAGTCTCATTTGTCGCCTGTTAGCTCACCGGAACAGCAAAAGCCATCGTCTACCGCTGCTAGTAGTCCTCCCATATCGTTAAAGGACACGACGGCCTCCAGTCAGCGCTGGACTCCCACCGCCATGGCCTTGGCAGCAGCCGTTGCCGTTGTTGCTGCTTCCACCCCAGCATCAACTCAGGTTCCTTCACAAACTTCAGTGAATCCACCCAGCTGCACGAGTGTGTCGGACATGGCAATAAAGGTCGGTTCCTAGCTCGTTATCCTCTTTTCACACACCCGCATCGATCTACTCTTCACTAACTCACAGGTTTAGTGGTTAAAAGACTCATTTATGATATTTTGTAAAATGTTTAGAACTTCTCGGGAAGTCATCATGTCAGATGGCTTGGTGGACGACCAGTTTAAGTGTTGGTTGCACGTGGTTCGGCTTTTGACGCAAACCTAACTAAAGAAGGTTATGTGCCAAAATAAAAATTCGTGCGCCCAACAAATACATCATTATCCACAGCAATACATCATTCATTTGGACTGATACTTCGCTGCCGTACAATCTTAATGACCTACAGCATGACGAATAGTAGGATGGAGAGGAGAGAGACATAGCGCAAAACTTTAATGCTTTAAACATACATTCAGAGTTTATGCGTCTACACCTTGTGCCAACAACACACCGTAACAAACAGCTGGCTATGGTTCAAAGGTGGCATCGACGACACAGGTTCCTTGCGGCTTTCACTCCCTCGCGTTATAATTAGTCATTACTCCCAAGATAACGGCACTTTGAACACTGTCCGGCTTGGAGACAACAACCGACACGCCACTGGTGCGGACTGCGATCCATGTCCTGTAACGCCTCCAGCCAAGCACAAGACGGATCTTGTGGACTCCAGTCTGGAAGGCAAGACGGAGCAAAAACACCCATTGTGATCGTCATTGACTTCATTTCCCGCTGCCTGGTTAACCTTTGCCCACCTCGGGAGTTGCGCCACCCTGCTTCTGACAAACAAACAAGGCCATCATCGGTAAGCGGTGACCGGGAACACATGGTACATGCCCAAGGCAAAGCAACCTGTTCAGTGCTATTTGTTGTTCTAATGAACTAGCCTAATTGCACTGCCTAGTACTCGCCCACGCACATTATCGTTGCGGACCCTCTGGTGCCGTCTGACAACAGCAGACAACGATGATCAAAGACTTGGAAGCACCTCAGATCGATGGGACCCAGTTTCACCACCAGAGATTAGAACGGCCCTCACTGTGGCCTTGTAAACACAGCCTTTCAGACGGAGGAAAACTCCTTTCTGTCACTAAAGATGTCTTATGTTCAAAAAGGCAGCCCTGGCTTTTGCAATCGGTGAACGGACTTCAGTTGCTATGCGCCTATGCTTGCCGGCGCAGCTGCCAAGATAAGTGAATTGATTACATACCTCGACTTCCTCGCCATGGAGTCAAGGGGCTGGTGGTCTTGTAACAAGGTGCGAAGCGCAGCTTAATTAATGCAACCACTCTAGAGAGGTTATTCGGGTTTTAATGGGCCGATCCAACATAGTTAAGCAGCAAGGCAATATCGTCCGCATGATCAAGATTAACAAGTCAACGACAGACAGGACCTCAACGTCTACCTCGTGAGATTCCCTAGAGACACTCCATGACGGGTTTGGACAGAATAGGGAACTTTGCGCAATGCTGAGAAGCGCCACTTGGTATCGGAAAGGTATCCGACAAGTCACCGAGACTGAATCGGCCTGTGATGTTCGAATACAAGGCACGTAACATAATCACGTATTTCATGGGAACACCTATCCGCGCATGCATTTCGAATAGAATAAAATCGATAGCTATTGTCGAACTGCGGTACTTGTGCCGCTGCTCTGGTATCTGCCGTCGACTGAATATATGGTTTATATAGCCCCATCCTGTGTGGAATCCTGCTTGATCTTCCCTAATCCTGGATTCCTATTCCGCAATGAGGCGACGAACGGGAACTGATGCCAGTACTTTTGTCACCACTGGCGTTAAGCCAATACCCCTGTGGTTAACACATTCGCTGCGACTGCGTATCTTGTATATTGCCAGTATGATCGATTCAATCCAGTTGGCAGGGATACACCCTTCCTTCTAGACATGTTCGAACAGTTGGTTCAATGCTTGGCAGAAGACCTCACCACCATCCTTGACTAGTGCTGTGATCGCATTTCGGACCTCAGCCCCTGATGGACCTTCTAAACTAACTGGCCATGGCTCAACCTACATCACTCGAATAGGAGTAGGTCCGGAAGCAGGGGGGCCAATTAAAGTGATCTTGAAAGCGCTCCTTATTGTGAATCATAGCACTATGTCTCACTGATGACTAGCTTTTTGACACCAGTGATGCAGATCAGTTGGAAAAGCATACTATATTTGCTTACTGCTCCAGTCTCCATTTACTGAGCTCGACTCGTCCACCAAGCTTTCTTGTCATCATCCATCACTCAGGCTTTGTTTTAGGTTCACTCCTAATAGTCCCTCTGGTTACATTAAGCTTAGAACCAGGCGGGAGTTTTTTTCTGGATTCCATTAGATTCTCCGATCTCTCGGATATAGAGTGACTGGTGCGAGACGATTGATAGTGCCGCAGAAAGAGGCTCCCACATCGTGCATGGTGGCTGAGATCCACTGAAGCTCAGTGTCATTTGGGCGGTACGCATGACATCCTAACGGAGGATTGAGACAATTTTTCAGTTACCAATCGATGGAGGTGCTTGATACGCCTCCCGGTAAAGTTCATGGAAAAACGACAGCGTACCAAGGCAAGATAAGAGTCGACGCACGCAATACACGACGATCAACAGTCCAGGATGGAACCACACTACCTGTAACTTTTGGCCATGTGATCTAGTTGGGTTCATCGCTGGCCAGCTACAGGAAGACGCCAACTGGCACTTCGGTGCCCACTGTGTCTAAAAGCGGTGCTACTAAGAAACAGCCGATGCTCCGCACACCATTGTAACAGACGCTCACCGTTTTCCGTTCGGTCGGAGTTAAGTCCACACGTACCGTCCAGCTGAGCTTCTGAAGAGCCCAGGCAACCTACTCGCGCATTCATATCCCCTGCAAGTACCATGAGGTCTGAACTGGTAGCACTGCGTAAGAGCGTATTCAATTTGTGGTAGAATATGTTCTTGGTCGCGTCAGAACTGCAGTCGGTGGGAGCATAAGCGGAAACCACAAACAGCGTCTTGTACCACCGCGAATCGACATTGATGTCGTCAAACGGACTGTACACAATCGGCTGCTCACGGAATCCAATTAACTAACGATAACCAGCCTTGGAGCTGAGAACAATGCCTACTCCAGCTTGACCCGTGAGTGTTGTATCGGCTTCTGCGGATGCGTGCAACCAATAGCGAGATGATAAATCGGGCGCAGTTAACTCAACCACGTGAGCGTCATTGATCCTAATTTAGGACACGCATGCGTGCGAGTGTAGCATGTTGACCAATTTGTCTTATAGTACGGACCTTGAACGCCGCCAGGGAAATTGGACAGCATAGACTTATAAGAGGCTTTTGGCGATTGGCATTCATTGGATGATGTGAGCAGCTAGCTGCGGATGGTCGAACTGCGTTGGCATCACGGCTGCTGTCAGTTAAGCTGAGAAGTATAGAACTATAGGTGGAAATTCGTCACATCTAGACTCATTCAGACAACCATCACACGCCTGAAAGAGCACTGTACGCGCCTTTCATTCTTTCGGGAATCGTCATCATTGCGCATTTCATCGGACCTTGATAGGGCTCGAATCAACAATTCGACTGCTGCCAGTTCATGGTTGAGACCACTGAGCTACGGGGGACGGCAACGACCATCGTGAATAAGTTACTAAATGTGATATAGCGCCGCTCACGGCAGTAACGTGGAAGTCAGTGGAAAGTGAGTGGCGCTATATCTCGTCTAGTAACTTATTCACGATGGTCCTCACCGTCCTCCTTAGCTCAGTTGTCACAACCACGGACTGGCAACAGTCGAGTTGCGGGTTCGATCCCTATCGGGGTCTGATGAAATGCGCACTGATGACGATTCCCGAAAGGATGAAAGGCGCGTACAGTGCTTTTCCGGGCGTGTGATGGCTGTCTGTGTGAGTCTAGATGTGACGAATTTCTACCTATAGTATCCAACTCTACTACTCCTCTGTAATTGTAGGAGTATATATGTATTTGACACTAGGCCATTAAACAACTGGCCGAATGCCACAACACAGTGAAAACAACAAGAGAGGAAAATAACCATTTAGCGAACACGTTATGAGGGTTTATTTGTCGCGTGGGCAGTGAGCTTCCCGGTTGCCCAGGCCGAAGAGGAGAGTTGTCTTAAGGGACCCCACCCCCAGTTTTTGGTCTTAAAAGCCTGACCTGCGAGGTTGCGGGGCGATTCACGCAGGTTTCTGAATGCGAAGACAGTTGACAACCAGGTGGCTTATTCGCCTTCTGTGTCCGGTTGCAGTCTACACAGAAGCCGGTGACCAGCAATGTTGTTCATCCGCCCTCTGATAGATACTCTCCTTTCGGTATAGAAGTGAATGGTCAGTAGCGTTACAGCCGGTCACCTTGGCTTTGACACAGCGCCCTACGTACTCTTGTGGTATTTGTTGGAGAACCATGTGACCAGCCCAAAACCCACACTTTGAGATACTGTCGCTTATTGTCCGCGACTGCTTATTCATCTCTCCTGCAAAGCAGACGAGACTTTTTCGCAGTTATCTCCACACAGAAAGCATTCCCCAATCCGCAACCCGGGGACGCGCCCGATAGCGTACAACACCACGAGAATTATAGACCTAAGGTTAGGAATGCGGGTTGGGACGGGAGTAAGAGAGACAAGTGTAAAAGAAAAGAGGCACCAAAAGTAAGTAGCATTTTTTCGCTTATCCGTCCTGCTGTATGCGGCAGCTAAAGCGACCCTTGATAATCTGCGCTACGACTGACGCAGGATGTCGTCGAAGTTTGACTAAATAGTCATGGTTGTACGTTGGCTGCTAGAGCGCTAGACCTAGACAGGAGAACGAATAGGGTCTTCAACCAAAGCCTGTCCTCAAGGCAGCGGGGTGGTGGCAAAGATTTTCACAGAAGTGGACGCCATTCAGTTTTCAACCCCCAACCTAAGTTTCTCTGATCGCTAACCACTGACCAACCTGGTAAATTTAACTCTCAAGGAGCCCAAGGTCCTTACCGGTATAGTTTAATGGGTCAAAGAAGTGCGCAA